CTTCTTAATAATACAATATCAGTAGACTCCAACCTGGATGTGTTATGTATAGCTCTTATCCAGATTAATCTTGATTCTGCTTTTCAGTTGGATAATGGACATTCGAGTGGGAGTGAAATATTTTGAATACAGCAAAGTATTTGACTATATAAGAATTAAGTATTTGACTTAAACATCTGTGTGATATTTTGGGCTGCATTCTCATTAAACGTGGATCAGATGATAATACACAGCTTCATTATTGTCTAGAAAACTGTTCTGAGAAGGTTCCTTGTCAAAGCAGAGGGAGATTTCAAGTGGGATACCAAAGAGCTTTCTCTCCTGGGCCTTGCAGTTTTCTGCATTTTCACAAATGATGTTGATTAAGATGTGGAAGGATTTTTTACAGATTTACAGATGACACAAAATGTATAAAAACATGGTTTCTGATAACTTCATATAGTTTTCTTGGCAACAGGGCAGAAGTATTTTGCCATTGCTTTCTTTCAAGATTTTTTTTTGGAGGGGGGAGCTGACTTCCCCCTTTTTATACATCTGCTAATTTACAATAGTTATTTCTTTTCTTTTCCTTTTTTTTTGTCCCTACTTTTTGGTATTTTAATTCTTGTTAAATTTGCTTAGTTTATCTATTTTTTCCTTTTATTATATATATTAGGTAACAATACAATGGAGACTTTAATGCTAAGTAATCAGTTTAAGATTGAAACCTTTATCATACAACAAATACTTTGATGCAATTCGCAGTGGTATTTTTTTCAATGCTATACTCAACTTTGGATGAAAAAGTCAAATAATGTTATGCTTATAATATAGACATCCTAAATTGTAACTAATATTCATAGAATACCTTTTTTTTCCTCTTCTCTATTTTCAACACTCTAAGTTATCTTAATAATAGAATGTCAATAATCTTAAATTAATATTGTATAAACATCACTGTATTGAAACAATGTAATGTATCAAGATTTATAACAATTTTTTTTAAAAAACTTTTTTTTTTCAACTTTCCAGTCAAGCCAACAACTCTGATGGTCTCTCATTCAAGTATTAGCCAGACTTGATCCTGCTTAGCTCCCAAGTCCATGCAAGGCAAGCCAGCTGCTACCAGCTGCTGAAACCCTTGTAGGATAGTTAACACCTCTGAAGACCAGAATGAAATTCAAATGTTTTGATAGATTGGAAGACTATGTTGAAACTAACGATGTGCAATTTAACAAATGCAAATGCAACATTCTCTATTTAGACAAAATAAAAATAAAACACAAATGCAGAATGAGATATTTGGCTTACCAACACTATGCGCATGAACACAGGATTATAAGTAGATCACAAAAAAAATCAATGAAATTCTCAGCAGTCTCTATAAAACCACAGTTCCCTTTTTTATTTAATTAAACAGAACAGAAAAAGTAAAATAGAAAAAGTGGAAAAAAGGAGACTACACATAGGATATACCAAAAGTCAGGCCTCATAAGCCAATCACAGTATGTTTTACTAGGTTTTTTTTTCAGAGAAAATGTTATTGTACTTAGAAATGTTCAAAGGTCATCTGTCAAATAAGTAAGCAAGTGTTTAGAAGAAAATGGCAATCAGTTCAAACGTTAATGTAATTTATATAATAAATTGTTTATGTGGCCTGACTTTCGGTACACCCGGTATATATACAATACATGTATATTCAGTTAGATACAACAGTTTCAGTAAAGGATTACCATATTTCATTATAATTGTCCATACATAATCTACATGTCTAAGCAACTCATACATAAGCTATAAGTAGCATCAACTCTTCACTCCGCTAACAATTGGGGCCATAAATTCACCTTTCTAACATTGAAGAATAAATCTCTTAGCAACAAGAAGGGCACAGAGAATCCATTTCCATTGTCCAACCATCAATTTCCCTGTACTAGGTGTGTAATTAAAAAAAATATATAGACCTCCAAAAAAATTAAACCCTGTTTCAAAGTAAAACTAATACATATAATGACTTTTTCTAATATAACAGTTTTAGGGTACCACAAAAACATGTTTTAATGAAGTGTTATTCTCATTGTATTTCTATCAATACAAATCAAATCAAATCTTTATTACAGTCAAAGACCAGCATAAGGAGGGTGGGATACAATCAATTAGAAAGCATAGAAAATACATCAGAGTCTAATAATAACTATTATTATTATTATTATTATTATTATTATTATTATTAAAAGCTAAAAGATATAAAACAGGAAGTATATATCTAAAAAATCTAAAAGAAGGGTAGGAGCATTAGATGGGTGTGGGAGATCATAAAGATTAGTATGTGGCAGACTATATGAAATTACAGAGCACTCTAATATGGTGAACTAGATGCTCACTAAGTCTAGTTTATGGCACAGGTCATCATCTGATGAATTTTAATCGCTGCTGCACAGAACCTGGCAACATTATATGTTGTAGCAGGGTTGGTATCTCAAAGCAGCAGGGAGGTGTAGAATTGTCCTGTGCGCTCTGGGCATTTATGCGGAAATGGTGAGAGGAGGCTAGTACGAATGTCTCTGTAATACAGGCACTGGAGAAAGTACATGCTCTGTTGTTTCTGTGTATCCAGAGTCACAGGGGCATTGTCTCTCTGGGTAAGGGATCTTCCTTCAAGGGCTGCTGAGGGGAGAACATGGCATTGTGCCAGAGTAAAAGACCTCCAGTGGTTTGGTACTTCAAGTTTAGCTATCAACACAATGATTTAGTCGTTCCTTTTGTATACAAATGCAGTGGGGTCCAGTAAGTCCAAAATCTTACTTTTTGTTGAATAAGCTGTAGTCTAAAATTGGAACTTTTGATTAAGACATTAAGACAGTTTTCCATTATTTAGAAAAAAATGAGACCTCCAGTTCCTTATTCTGTTCACTCTTTAAATTTTGCATATCAAATTGATATATTGCTAACAAGTATTAATTGTGATTAATTGTGGGTTTTTTTGTCTCATAAGATTTAATGATCACATCTAATAATTTAGGTGTTTGTGCAGCTGAAAATGTCGTTAGTCCAAATCGAGACATCAATAGAAGTTAGCATTGTAAATATTGCCAGTGGGTGACAACAAACACATCCTTTAATGGAGGATATGATAAAAAGTCATCATTATTATCCAATAATTAATCTAAAATAAAAATGCCAACATTCTTCCAAATCTTCCACATAGCTAAAACCTGTCAACTATAAAGTCTGATTAACCCATAGTATCAGTTTAGCATGATAAAAAGGATCAAAATGCAATTTTCTGGAAATAGTATGCTGTAATTTTCAAATCACTGTAATAGTGATAGTAGCTGTGGCTCATTTATTATATTTTGAACCCCAAACACTCCATTTTACTAAAGGTGCTGTGTGAATATACCAAAAAGGCTCAGAAAGGAAAATTTACACTATGTGAAGCTATCCAAAGTTTGGTACTAGTCAAAAGGTATGCATAATGGTGTAATTCAAGAATCAGGACACCAATGCCCTCCTTTTAACAGACAGCTACATCTTTTTCAAAGATAATTTGGAATTGAAGTATCCCATAGAAATCTACAGAACAGTGTATTGAATTTTTGAAAATGTTTACTAAATTTGTATATGAGAATTCACACAAAATATAAAGTATCTTGTGATTTACGTTAATTTTGAATATTTTTACCTTAACCCAAAGGGTAAGGCCCATCTATCAATATCCAAAGAAGCATTTTTGTATAATGTGTTCATATTTAACATTTCCAAGTAAGTGCAAGTAATAATTAAATGGTGTTCCCTCAGTAGACAGACCTGAAGTTCTGTATACAATTGGGTACCATAATTTAAAAAGGTAGGCAAACATTTTGGAGGTGGATATTTGGAAAACAAGTTATATGAATGAAAGAGAGTGAAGGAACTGGGTATGTTTAGCCTAGAGAAAGACGTTGTGAGCAGTGGCATGATGATATCAAAATGACTACATGGCATTTCATGATGTCATCATGCAAAAAGATACAACTTAGTACAAGTTATTCCCGGTACTTGATGAGAGTACATAAGTCATGACATTGGACGTGTATTATTATTTGCCCTCCTTCAGACAGCTATGATTCTGAGTGGGACATGACAACACTGTTGTAATGCCTTTAGGCTCACAAATAGAATAAGACAGTCCTAGATGTAACGTATGTAATAAGTTGCAAAAGAGGGGAAACTGCTTGATGATAAGGACATTTCCATGTCTAGTGGAGGTCACCAAGCATTAGAGGATGCTACAGTTCTGAATTTGTTGGAACTAGTAAGTGACATAATCACTTTTGGATTCTGAAGAATCTGTGAATTTAGATCACAGCTCTACCAGAATCTTTCATGGTATCCTGCAGTATGAAGTAGTGAGGATTATAGCTGAAGCTGAGAGTGCCAGCTCTCATCTTATCTTAATGTTATATTAATCGTATGAATAGGGCATTCCTGTGAGTTTTTTGCAAAAGAACAAAACACCTCAGTAACTGTGAACCCGAGTTATATAAACTTTGAATTAGGCAGCTGCACTGAGAGTAATATTAATGCATCAATAATAAACTTGTATAGGTTTCATTGTAACCCCATAACAGTGATCCTAACATGCCTCATGCTATCATCTGCCATTTGTACTGCACACTACTACCCCTTTAAGTATACATGAGGGTGATTGAGAGTCAATGTTTCTTAATGTCTTATATTGCTCGCTAGTTCCATTTCTGAGACATGAAAAAGCAACCTATAATACCAAAGGCTGATGCTGTAGTAACATTAGTTGTTCTCAGTTGGATCAATGTAAGTGACTGTCACCTTTTAAATATCTGTCACCTAAGACGAATGTGGCTGACCAGCTCTGGCATTAGAGTCCTGAGCAACAGCTACAAGTAAGGGGAGTGGAAGAGGAGATCCTTCCTGCCGCTGCTGCCGCCGCTGCTGCTATGAAACCTTGCAGGGTGGAGCACCTCATCCTGATGGCAACTGACAGATTTCTTTCTCTTTCTTAGGCTAATGGAGGTTGGCAAGATGCTACGACTCCTTCGTCAGTGACTTCCCCCACAGAAGGCCCTGGCAGCGTTCACTCTGATACCTCCAACTGATCTCCCAGCAATCCAGTATCCCCGGCTGCTCCCACCCTGTACCAGGCAGAGGTGGGGGCAGAGAGGGGAGAGTTTTTTTCTCCTGTTGATGCCAGCAGGCTGGATTCAGAGCTGACTGGCCCACCCAACAGGAGTCTCCTTCTCTTCTCTCTTTGGGGATGCTTTTTCAGCCAATCTGGACACTTCTTTATACTCTCTTCCCTTTCTTTTCTGGGTAGAAGCCACCTTTCCTTTCACCATCACCACTGCCCATCCTCTCACAGCAGAATGATCAGAAGAAGAGAAAACAAAAACATCTTCTGAAAGCATTTGTACTGTTTATGTTATTGCTGCTGTTGTTGTTGTTGTTTTTATCCCAGTGTCGATCTTTAACTCCCTCCAGCCTACCAGGTATCTGACCGCCTCCTCCCATTTCTCTCGTGTTCTCACTACCTCTTTCCAGGAGCCATCTAAGCTCTTCCCTTGGCTTTTGGGCACCATCCCTCCTTCATAGGAGAACAGTTGTCTGTTCCTCCAAGATCCTGGGTCTTTGGTGAGTTGCCTTCCGGGACAATCCCTGTTACAGGCTGGATAAATGCAATCCTGGTGCTGCAAGGTATGTCTGTAACATGCCACATGGTTACAAGAAGATAGGAAATTGTTAGCAGAGCTACTCTACCATCCCTTCATGTCTTGTATCCACCCTAGACATGAACCTGACCACTTCTCATTTCTGTTGTTCCACACTCCCCATGGAACTGTAATTAGGGATGTGCATTCTTCTTCATGAAGGAAGTGCACAGTTAGTTGCTTAGTATAACATGGTAAACTGCAGTAAATCTGGGTAGTAAATGATCTTGCATAATTTATTTGGGTTCTACAAATCATGTTTTACTGATGGAGAAAAGCGTTTCACATTTTTGTTTGAAATGTAAACCATATAAGGGCAGAGCAATAAAGACCTGTGCATGGCACTGTGGTCTTCAGTCTTATACCCTTTGATTTCTGAGCTTTATCCAAGCATCGTCCACCTGGATGCACAATCATAAAGCTTAGATATTCAGAAAGGGGGGGGGGTATTACCTGCACAGTGAAGCTGCAGAAATTGCAAAATATCCAGAGCTTTCATTACACTCCTAATTTACCAATATCTGTTACACAGAGAAAGAAATTACTGGGAAATTACTTCCAAGCTGCTAGAATGTACAACTTGCCTTTACTAGGGCATTAGTAAACATTTGGACTTTGTGGCTTTGCATATTATAATTTGCATATAGATCCTTGCTAAAATAGTGGTGTTGCCTTGATCTTGAAAAAAAAAAGACTGACACTTCACTTTTAAGAAAGCATGTTTTCCTGGTGGAAAAATAATTAAATAAAAATGATGGGGTGGGGTGAGATGGGGAGAGGAGAAGATAACTGGCTATTGGAAATGCATATTCAAAAATATATATTTGCATGGTGACTTTAAATTATTGCCTGTGCTCAAACTCAGCTCTCCAGAATAAGATGAAATGGGTTGCCTCCTAGTCTTCAACATGAGGACAGATCACATTTCAGCAAGGCACATTCAAGGGAACTTCCCAGTGGATTGACTGTGTCCTCAATGAAGTATCTTGCCCCAGCCCAAAGACAGAAAGACATTAAATAACCCAAGCTGTGCTGTGGTGTGGCTTCTTTATTAGTGGCAACACATAGACAAATCAGTCCCCCAAGTTCAAGAACAATGTCCACTGGTGCAGTATCTAGCAGTGTACTTATACCGTACTCTAAGCTCCCTCGGCTCTAATCATCATTATTCCATATTTTCAGTAGAAAAGGGGTTTTCTATTTGGGATCATTATGAGTTCAGTTTGGCAAATAGCCCACATTGATTAACACAGATTACAAATAGCTTTGTAACCATTACCAAACAACGTTGGCAGTTCTGTCTGGATGAGTGTTGGGACCCTGCTGCTTCTTATGAGAAGTCATGAGAAATCTATAGCTTGCTTGGTCCATCTGTTCTCAATAACCTGCATATACCCAGGATTAAAACCAAGTAAATTGGAGGCACTATAGAAAAGCAGCAGGTTTAATGGACCAACTAACATTTCATAATGTTATTGTGATGGTTTCATAATGATTTGAGCAAAGCACTCGCTTTTCAAAGCACCTTGTCCACCTTCCAAAAGACTGAAGTGAACCTGCCACAATATTTCACATTGTTTCTGGGGCTTCCTTAGCAAATGCAATAGCCAGAAGAGGCTCTTCCGGCTAGTAAGCATGCTAGATAAGGCCCCAGAAGGGACACGAAGCACCTTTGCAGCATGAAGCAACTCAAGGCAAACTGCAGCCACCTCACACAGGCCTAGTGTCACTTTTAAACTGTACAGAATACCTCATTAGGATGAATTAAAGAAAGAAAAGGCAAAAACAAGAAGCAAATACTAACTAAGAGATTAAAGCCACAGTGTCTATATGGTGGTATTAAGATGGGAATGTGGAAAGAGATTGCAGAATTAGATAGAGATGGCTTTCGGTAAGAGGTGTCTTGTATCTAGGAGCTGGGACAAAGAAACACATGCAAAATACAACTGACCACATCAAAGGTGTATACTTAACTTTAGTGCATGAGGGGAAATATAGCCATAATAGGTAGCATTGCCTAGTGTTTGGATGGAATATACCTTTGCCAAATAAAGTTAGGAGAGATCTGGGCTGCACAAATCCAGACAACCACTAGATGACAGCAAAGAAGCAAAGTTGTTGGTGTCTCTACCGCCATCTAGTGGCCGCATGGATTCATGCAGCCAAGATGTGCTTTCCCTGGTAAAGGCCACTCTGCATGGACTTGAAACTTCCTTCAGTTGGATTCACGTGGGTGAGATTCCATGAATATTTCTTGAAATATTTGTTTAATGTAATTAAATGTAATCAGGTTAGTTGCAATTAATTACATTAATTGTGTGATCTTTATCTAACACATCTATTGGCAACTTTCACAGAGACCACTATATTGCTGTGATAAATGAAAAAAAGACATAGTCTCCTGGAAAGCAGATTTTATTCAACTTCCATTTATAGGTAGATAGTGTTGTGCAGTATTATTTATTAACTTCATTTCAAACTATTATCTGGACTGTGCAATTTGCACGGCAGACTACAGTTGTTTGGGAGGGAAGAAAGAGATGGAACTGCATTTATCTGCCTGTAACAATATATCTTTCTATTATGGTCCGCCACGGTATGGTACTGAACTCCTTAATGGTACATACACTGGTAGTAGTTCTTTGCATATCCAGATTTACTATTTTTATTATAATTATGTAATACTGATATTTTTGCTTAACTGTGAGCTGCCTTCTCATGCATTTGGTTCTTTATTTTCTGCCCAGAAAAACCCAACTTCGATACCAAAAACAAAAAAATTAAAAAACTGCAGAAACTTAAAAAAAAAGAATCCTAAAAAAGTAAAAAAAAAAATTAAAACATTCAATTCTTTCAGCTTTATTAACATTTTCCATTGTTTCCTGCGATTTGTGTCTCGTTCTTTGTAGTATTGATGATAATGAACATTTGATAATGAATGTTCTTGTATATTCAGATAAAGGAAAAACAAACCAAAAAAACAGTCTGAATTTAATAGTGTTTATAAAAATAAAAAGTTACCCTCCTAGCACGCATCAAAGGACAGACCATCCCCATCCTGTCCTGTGGCAAAAAGAGCTTCATACCTGTATAGTTTTTAACACCAAGCTACCTACATTCGCCCTTCTTTTGTTTCCATTTTTAACGCATTTGTGAATTAGTTCAAGAATGGTAGACAAGTGTAGAGTTGTGCACATTCATTTCCTGTTACACAATGTTTTAAAAGAAGTGACAGTAATTCATTTTGTAAAACTTTTAACAATGGTTGGAATAGTGAGCATAATAGGTACACTTAATACTTTGTTTACTAACTTTGAAAGCCAGAAGTGACATTTTCATTATGTTCTGCATACTTTAAAAGGAGCTTTTATTTTAAGGCCCAATCCACTGGGAGGTTTTCCAGTGTAAGCCTCCCCTGAAACAAATGGAAGCTACAGAAGGGCTTTTTCTGTGCAGCTCGTTTTTTTCAACAAGGCTTGTGCAGGATACTAGACTCATCTCTTTTATTTTTATCTTTTTCTTTTTTCTTTTGGTCGGACTATGGCCTTGAAAATATATTTCCCAATTTCCTTACTACTTAAGTCTTTTTATTGCCTTTAAAGTGATGTGAAAAGCTTCTTTAGAGCAAATAGAAAAAAAGATAAATTATTTTCCCTTGAATGTGCTTAATTTATATAAAATTAACACTCTTATTCATTAATCTGATGCCTTCAGAATGTGTTGGGACTACAGCTCCTAGAATTCGCAGCCAGAATAGCCAGTATTTGCTGCAGCATACCTGGTAGGGAGACAGCTGCCTCTTGCGGAAGGCTGAAAAGTGATGAGCAAGGTACTTGAAACGCTGAACTTCCTGAAATCTACCTAGCCTCAGTTCTCACCTGGCTTGCTTGACAGTGATGGTGAGCTGAACCTTCTGAGGACTCCCACGCAGGGATGTCTGGTCGCTTGGCTTCCCTGAACTGTTTTGAAAAGCTAGACAGGCCACATCAACTTTCTCCCTGGAACGAGGTCATAGCACACTGCTACTACAGAGCCATCAGGTTATTAGCAGGCTGGCCCACAGTTAAAGTTTGGCCCAAGTTCCTCTAGCTGCCCCCTTCTAGTAGTAGCGTGTAGGGTTACTGTTGTAAGGCAGCTGTTTGCTACTTGCAAAGGTGGCAGATGAAAGGGACAGGTACTCAGTGATCGTTGCCTGGCCAATGCAATGATCGTATTCTTTCAGAAGTGAAAGTGCAAATTCTTTTTGCCATATCCCATCTTCTAGGCCGCCATCAGATAATTTGAACTGGCACTCTGCTGTAGTACTGGTAATCTCCCTCTCCCCTCCGGGTCTTGGTTTCCATGCAAAAGCCAGCCCCAGGACCTCTCTCAGGGCATTAACCAAAGCTGCTGATCTGCCAGCTGCTGCCCAGTCCCGCTGCCTGAATTTAGACAAGGAGAGCCAAGAGTGGTAGGCAAGCATGTTGGAAATCACTAGGCAAAGGGAGTCCCCTTGTGCCATCAATCATCACTTCCAGGCTATACCACCTGCCCACCGAGGGAATGCTCATAAAATGCAGCCATATGTTTAAAATACTATCTAGCCAGATCTCACTTTATTGGTACTATATTTTTAAGATTAAACAGCAGATGAAATGTACTATTTCATCCTGTCTTCTTAAATACTTATCTAAATGACTTTGTGGGAGATGCTCGTCAATCTTAATTCAAGGACAACCTTGGTCCAGAATTTAGCCAGTTTTGCTACAATCCACGAGTACAACTCTTGGTACTTTCTCTCAATTCTCTCAATTACCAGCACCTTTGTTAAAGAATCATCAATGAAGAAATTAACACTGTGGGGAACAAAGCAATAACGAAGATCAATTAGTGAGATTTTTGTGCCCCGCTGCTCAAAAAGCACTTTGCCATCACAACTCTAACTTGGTGATTTTGGAGAGCTCAGACAATTGTGTAAATACTACTAGAGTGCCCCATAATCAGGGCCAAGGACTAGGGTTTCCTGTTGTAACTATTTCCATCGTTAGCACCAAGGACAATTCCCGTCTCCCAGTTGAGAAGGAGACCAAAACAATTAACATTATTTCTCTTCACTGCCATAATGAGTTAAATCTGATTAGCTACCTCGTGATATGACATCATCACATGTAATGTGATTCCTGATTTGCTGAGCCAAAGATGCATTGGCCTTTTGGGGCCTCATTTTCAGGCTGTGAAAGTAGAAGAGGAGGGTTCTTGGAAGGTTTCAGAGTTTAGAAGGCTTGCTGGGGAAAATATGCATGTTGCTTTTTCAAACAAACAAAAACTGCTCTATCTATAATACTTTATTAAATGATGTTACAACATGTACCTATTTCTAGTAAGGCATCATAGGGCAAAATTATATCCTGTATACAATGCTGAAAACATTTTTTTACTGGTTTTGGTGGTTTGTTTTGGATTTTAGGGTATTTTTTCATCTATGCGGGAAAAACAGTTTCTAACTGCCCCCACTTCCCTGAAAATTTGGAGATTTTCTTTCCATCTTTTATTTTCAAAGAAAATGGGGAGGGTGGACAAGTTGAGTCTATAGTGCATCCAGTTGCTTCCTAGTAAGTGTTTAAGATAACAGCCTTGATGTTAACACACTGAAAAAGCATTCTGTCTAATTTCAGATTTGCCCCATCAGGATCACACAGTAAAGGAGTAGCAAACCCAACCCACAAACCTCCAAAACTAGCAACAGATATGCGAAAATCCAGAGTATGATGTTACAGGAATCTCTTTGCTCTCTTCCAAAAGTGAGGCAAACTTTTAAGCTCTGGCTTAAACACCCAATGTTTATTGGCTTGAAAAATAATCTGATTTGAGTTGGAATTAGTTAGCCCCTTGCCCCATACAATGTGTATACATACATACATTGAGTCACATTATTATGGAAATACTTCAATTTTGTAATTGAAAGCAAGCATGCTTAGACATGTCTGCACTCTGTTGTATAGACAGACACTAACAAACCTCTTCTAACTACAAGGAGAAATCTCTGGAGTGATATAGTCCAGCTGCAGTGATTCAGATTTACAGACCTGGACTCATGTCTAAAAGACAAATTGTATGCTCTTTGGAAGTATGGTACCCTGAATTCCAATTATCTGTAGATTTAAGGTAATCCCAGTCCACCTTGGTGATTTTTTTTTTTTTTTACTATATCTTACCAGAGAAATCTCAAACTGGTAAGAGTATACTGCCGTGCAATTCACACTGCATGGAGAAAGCAGTGTCTAATCCAAATTCTCATTTGTTCAAAATGTTATCTTTTTGACTGATGGCCATTACTTCTCAGAAAGAATCAGGGAGTCAAAGCGATAGTGCTTTCAAAAGTGATATAACAGGAATCAGTCACAACTTTTCCCTGCAGCGAGGAAGAATCCAAGGCTCAGGCTGGTAGGCAGATGGAGGAATTTATAGGACTGGACTCATTTAGGGAACAAAATTTGATATATGATCCAACATTTCAAAAACTCAATCTGTAAAACAATGGATGGCAGCGCTGTTCTTTCTTTATTTGCAAGGTATGGTGAGATTTTCACATCACTCTTTGCATTGGCCCCTTATTTTTCCTATGCAACCTTGTTTGCATAAAGCTTTTAACATATTATTACCATTGTTATTATCAAAATGTATCACAAAATGCATTGTTTGTTCTTAATCAGGATCCCTTTTGTTTCTTGCAAAAGCATCCTGCTGTATTCTCAATTGCTTTGTCTTTTCTTATGTTTCCAATAATTTCCCAATATAAACCTTAAGAAATCTTCGCTTTGCTTTGACTTACATCAAGTTTTCTGCTCCCTTAAAGACAAGGCCTGTGTCTTTTGGATCCCCACTGAAACTTTCTGTTCTATAATAATACTAACAAGATGTAGGTTTTACAGTCTCCTGATTTGTATTGCTACTGCATATTCCAAATAAATAGTTTCTTTTGTTGCAAAAACTGGTGTACTTCTTGTACGGAAAAAACTTGTCTTCATCCTAAATCTTTAATCAGTTTGATAACTGGAGAAAAGATAGGAGACAGAGATGCCCTATAATCTTCCATGATACCCAAGTGAATGGCACACGGCCCCCACCTTTGGTATAGTTACCAGAAAAATGATAGTTGTTTCCAGTTACAAGGAAGCTGGTTTAGTATGAGTTGTAATTAATAGGAGAGAAATATTTAAGCCACTAAAATACATTATTAGCATAACTCTCCAATTATCCACAAACAACTTTGCAGCGCAGAGTCCTTTAGCATTTTAAAGCATACCACAATGATTTTCAGTGCGAAGGGGAGCATCCAGAACTCATTTAGCAATAAACAGAATTCAAAAGTGGTAAGATGCTTTGAACCCTCAGGACATGGTAAACTAAGCTTCTACTAAAGCCTCTTTTATCTAAATACATACTCTTTCTTGTCTCATGAGGCAGTATCTGTATTTTTTCCCCTAAAGAGCAGATTCTGAACAAGCTTCACTGAAATAAATAATAAATAAATAATAAATAAAGGCTGCATTTGACTTAAGACTCTGCTCTTTTTCAGATCCTTTATCATCACTGAGTGGCTGGCATAATAAACAGGAAGGAATTCAGTAGCAGAATTTACACAGTGTAGTATACTTTTGACCCCCAGTTCTTCAAACCTGGGTCTTTTCATGGAGTATTCAGCGTTGTTCCGTTACAGTCATAGACAGCTAAGATAAATAATAAATGCAAAAAGAAAAATATGAGTTACAGTAATTCATATAGTAGTTTTTTCTGATAACACGATAACTGATCTACATCTCTGGACTCTCAAATTCCCAAACCCAATAACAGTAAAAATAGCCTTCATATTGGCCAAGTCTTTGCAATGTGAATAACAACTTAGAATAATGTTTTTAATTCAACCCATGTCTTGTATCTAAGAGGCATGGGGGATGTCACTGTGGCTACAGCAATTTTTTTTAGAAGACCCTAATTTTTCCCCTTTCTGCTTATTCTTTGCATCTTTCAAGTCCCAACGTCTTCTGATAAAGTACCTACAATTAACAATTTTGCAGTAGTCAGGAACATAACAGGTGGCACTTTCTTGGTTCTTAAAATGTAAGGCCAGCCATCCATTGCTGAATTCCTGCCTACTGTGCAGCTATTACAAGAATACTCTTAGCTATGAAGAAAAGCTCTGCTTTAGGAACTATGCTCCAAGGATATGGTTCCAGCAGGTTTTGCTTTCCACCCATTTCCAAGGGCAGTTCTTACTCACTTGGCAATACCTTTTTTCATTTGTCACACAATCAACATAATGCCCCTGATGTGTTACTCTCACTAGCTCTTCCCAATGCATTCACTGATCTGCTTTATATAACACAAATCTGAATCAGAAGTTGAAATTCCCACATATACCTTCACCTGTCCATTTCCCCCCAGTCTTCCTCTCTACCATCTTCTGTTCTCTTAGCCTGCAGAATGCTAGATACACTTTATAGGAGAGGAATAATGAGAGATGAAGAGATCAATGAAAATGAGTGAGGTCATTCAAAAGGTGGAATGGGGGGGTTAGGTGGAGAAAATATTTGCTGTGACCTGACTACTCTGTAAGTCAAAATAAAGGTTTTTAAATTTTAAAAAAGCCCACAATTTTAGTAACTACAACGTTATCCACTCCATTCCTGCTCTTTACAACTTCCTCAGTGCTTGGGCTGCACCTATGCAGATTCTATTTTTTGTCATGCTAGTTGCTTCTCTTGACATTTTCTTGGCAAATACCTTCCACAGCTCATTTGCTTAGGGAAATGCAGGTTAAGTGTCCATTTTCCTCTCCTTCTTCTGTCTTTCCATCTCATGAATTTCCTTTTCCAGGAAGCATGAAGCAGATCCATGGGTATAGCATACTTGATTGGATACACGGGGAGATGGTACTGCATCCCCCCGACCCCATTCCTCCAAATCTCTGACCTTTCTCAGGAAGTTTCTACTTAGGTTTATTTCATCATAGTTCCAGGATGTACGTAAAATTCTGTTCACGTTCCACTGAACGTTAATAGAACCACTGCAAACTCTCCAGTTTAACCCAAGGAAGTCAGGGCCATTACAGGTGGCCAAGGCGCAACACCGCTCTGAAATGGCTACAAGGGACAGAATAGCTTCGTATGAGCTGCTCTCAATCTGCAGTTGGTGAGTAACCCAGGATCCCCAGATCTATTTTGGGCATCCCCCAGAGCCCCCTCCCTCGACCATGCTGATTAAATTGGTGGCATGACTGTCAAAAATTGGTAACATGGTTTCCTGTCATGTTCAGTTGAGTAACATATGAAAATAAATATGTAAATGTATATAGACTTAATCCAGTTTTTAAAAGCAAATACCAGAGTCTCCTCCCACTGGCCCTGCAAAAACACAGAAAAGGCCAGCCGTCTTGACTGACTTTATACCACATCCATGCCCACAACAGCCTTCCCCCTCCAAAAAAAGAAAAGCTATTAAGTGGGTCTCCCCCACTTCATCCCCAATCTATAACTTGGCCACTAGCATGATTCCCAGGTGACATCTCAGAAATTTCTAAAACCCAATTATCAATTATTTCTAAAATCAGTTATCTGCCATGTATTGAAAACCCCAAAGATGTTTAAACTTCAGCTGCCAAGAGATAATAAAATCTAGGCACTGCTGCCTTGAAAGCAAATATATTACTTATTTCACCAAAGAAAAAAAAAGTCTTGAAACATTAGCTTCAGAATGGGAGCAGCAGCGGAGGGGGAGGGCAAAAGAGAGGGTAGTTATGACCATGAGATCAAAAAAATATCTATCACCTGTGCACGTTTGGTGTATGAGAACCAGCTTGGTGTAGTGGTTCAGGCAGCAGGCTAGAAACAGGGAGACCCTGAGTTCTAGTTCTGCCTTAGGCACAAAGCCAGCTGGGGGACCTTGTGCCGGTCACTCTCTCTCAGCCCTAGGAAGCAGGCAAGAGCAAGCCACTTCCAAAATCTTACCAAGGAAACTACAGGGACTAATCCAGGCAGTAGCCAGGAAACAAAAACTGACTCCAAGGCGCGTGCTCACGCATTCACGCAGACACACGCAATGCAGGAAAAAAAAAGGACAGCTGTACTGGCCATGTTGTCTTTTTTGCCCCCTTCCTTGCTTCCAAACCAATTGGAATAATAGCCAGCTCAACCTTCTCAAGTTGCAGTTTTAATAGTTGGTGTCTACGTGAGACCGCTGATAACAACGCGTGCTCCGCAACTGATCTATTCCATTCCTGGGAATGTACTGCAGAACGCC